AGGGTACGCCAGGGGGGCCCCCCTGGTGCGGAATATCGTGGGGGGGAGTCTACGGCCTCGCTGCTGCTGCTGCAACTCCAGCAGGGAGAGGGGACCCCAACCTGCTTCGGGGCCCCTCCATACCATTCGCTCTCGTGCTGCTGCTTCTCCGCTTGCTGCTGGTGCTGCTGCTGCTGCTGCTGCTGCTGGTGCTGCTGCTGCTGCTGCTGCAGATGCATGCTCGGGAGGGCTACGCCTGGCCCCAGCAGCCACTGCCTGCTGCTGAGGCTGTCTAGCAGCAGCAGGAGCAGCAGCAGCATAAGAAAGAGGAGGACCTGCTGCAGCAGCACCAGTGGGGGCCCTGGGGGCCCCTTGCTCTTCTTCTTTGATTGCAGGGGGGCCCCCGGGGGCCCCCTTCTCTTCTTCTTTGATTGCAGGGGGGCCCCTATTGCGGGGGGTTGAGACAGTAAGTACTCCTAAATACTTGAGTAGAGCTTCGCTGCTGCTGCTGCTGCTGCTGCTGCTGCTGCTGCTGCTGCTGCTGCTGCTGCCGCTGCTGCTGCTGCTGCTGCTGCTGCTGCTGCTCAACCGCCCCAACCAGAAGCGCCCCTCACGTACAAGGAGCCTTGCTGTCTGTTGTATCCCGAGAGATATATTTGCTGCTTCTTCTGGTGCTGCTGCTTCTGCTGCTGCTGCTGCTGCTCTAAGTGCTGTTAGTTCTCCTGCTGCAGCAGACAGCAGCAGCAGCACAGCAGCAGCACGAACATCTGCTGCTTCTATCTTCTTTGCTGCATCTACACATACACCCCACACCGCCCTCAACTCTGAGAGAAAAGCAGCAGCCCTATCGAAGGCTAATGCGAGCTCTGCTGTTGTTGCTGCTGCTGCTGCTGGCGGTGGTGGTGGTGGTGGTGCTGCTGCTGCTGCTGCTGCTGCTGCTGCTGGTTGTACTACTGCAAGTGCTGCTTCTGCTTGCTCTGTTGCTGCTGTTTCTGCTGCTGCTGGTTCTCCTTCTGATGGTGATGATGCGCCTGCTGCTGCTGCTGCTGCTGCTGCTGCAGGAGGAGGAGGAGGAGGTGCTGCTGCTGCTCCTTGAGCTGCTGCTGCAGCTGGAGCATCAGCATCAGCAGCAGCAGCAGCAGCAGCAGGGGGCCTCGCTCCTTTAGATCTCTCTCCAGCTACCACACAAGCATACGAGGGGCCCCTGGGGCCCCCTGGGGGCCCCCCTGATGCAGCAAGGGCCCTTAATACCTGTCTATACACCGCAGCTTTCTGTATGCTAGCAGCACAAACAAAAATAATAAATACAACAGCAGAAAGAGCCAGTAAACCACCAACAAATAAACGACCCGATACACCTCGATAAAACGATATAACAGGGGCCCCCAGCCGCACGGGGGCCCCCCTAGGGGGCCCCCCCTCCTGGGGGGCCCCCCCTATCAATGCCGACCCCGAAGGGACGGGGGCCCCCACGGGGCCCCCCAAGGGGGCCCCCAGGGGTTCCGCCGGGGGGGCCCCCAGGGGGGCCCCCAGGGGGGCCCCCTTCAGGGGGGCCCCCGTGTACGCAGGTAGCGGCTCATCCCACAGACCTTTGGAAGGAGGAGCAGCAAGGGGGCCCCCCGGGTTTGCTGCTGGTGTTATTGCTGTTTCTGCTGCAGTTT